CAAAGAGTGAACCCATCCAAGCAGCCAAAGGCTTTGCTAAAGTCCAGGTAGACAACATCCACAGCCTTTCCCTCATCCACTAAGTCCATTTATTAATCTCCTTTGGCCTAGGCTGCCACAGTACACAACATTATCTACAGCCATACATCCTGGCCTGTATCAGGAATAGCATGGCCAGCAGGAGTAGGGCAGTGATGGTGTCTCTGTATTCGGCACTGGTAAGGCCTCACCTCGAGTACTGTGTTCAGTTCTGGCTCCCTCACTACAGGAAGGACATTGAGCTGCTGGAGTGTGTCCAGAGGAGAGCCACCAAGCTGGTGAGGGGTCTGGAGAACAAGTCGTATGAGGAGAGGCTGAGGGAACTGGGCATGTTTAGTTTGGAGAAGAGGAGGCTGAGGGGGCACCTCATTGCCCTCTACAACTACCTGAAAGGAGGCTGTAGAGAGGTGGGTGCTGGCCTCTTCTCCCAAATGAATAATGACAGGACCAGAGGAAATGGTCCCTGCCCTGAAGTTGTGGCAGGGGAGGATTAGATTACATATTAGAAAGAATTACTTTACTGAGAGAGTGGTCAGGCACTGGAACAGCCTGCCAGGGAGGTGGTAGAGTCGCCATTCCTGGAGGTATTTAAGAAACGTGTAGACATGGTACTTCAGGGCATGCTTTAGTGCCCAAGATTGTTGGTTTGTGTCTTTTTGTGGGTGGGTGTGGTGGTTTTTTGGTTTTTGGGGTTTTTTTTGTTTGTTTGTCTGGGGTTTTTTTTGTGGTTGGACTTGATCTCAAAGGTCCCTTCCAACCATGAATATTCTGTGATTCTCTGATGTACTGCTCCTCTTGAACACCACCTGAAAAGCATGAACTGCTCATCCTCAAAAAGGGGTTCAGATTTTCTGTGTCCAACTTGATATTTGCAAGTTATCTTTACTGAGTCATGCTGAGCTTGTTTACAACCAGGTGGAAGCTGGCCTTTTGATACATTTCAGTACTGAGACTTCTGAACCATTACTGACAAAAAAGCTTAATTAACAGTATAGACAAAACAAAACAATTCCAGGACAGGAGCTGAAATGTCAATGGCATCATTGTAGTTAGCCTGTCATGCTTGTAGTAGAGTCTGCCCCTACATGTTCTCAAAACGCTGCAAAAACTGCTTTAGTACCCTTTCAACTGCACTTGATAGCACTGCTCTTGAATGCTTAACTGTGTAGCAACTCACCCTGTTTTATCCTTGTCTGACATAGAATAGAAACATCTGTGAGATGGCTGCAACTAACAGCTGATCCTTACCCACAGTTCCACAATATTTCTAGTGTCTCCCCAGAGGCCAAACCCTACAAATGCACTTGGGACAATTTTTGCTTTAAGTGGAATATTCTGCTTTAGAAATGCAAAGGTTATTTTCTGGAAGTTGTTCTAATTTTGAAACTTACTTTCAGTATCAGTATAATTGAACCACTAAAAAAGTCCTTCTATTGACAAATATTAGGGGTGCCTTCTGATGGCAGACAGTAACTTTCACAAAAGTGCTTCGCCTGTAGAAAGTCCAGGCTAGACGTCCACAATGCAGTGTTATCAGCACTGACTGCCTAAAGCACACATGCTGAATGGGACAACTTTTAGCTACAACCAATAGTATTGATGCACCCTACTTAGAATGGCTGAAAAAAATCGCAGTAATTTAAAACAGTTCAAACCCCCATTTTAGGCAAGACCACTGAAGCTTTTTATAATGATGATGGAATCTATGTTCTTCCATACGCACAAACAGTTAAATCATTTGGAACAGTACCTGAGGGAGATTTGCTGCCGACAGCCTTTGTCCTCTATAGCCCAAATTTCCTAATGCAAGCAAGGTCTTGAGAGACCACTTTTCACATAGCTATTTGTCCAGACTCTTGGAATATGACCTAATTGGTGGCCAGAGATTCAAAATGTGATGCAAGAAGTATATTTCTGTTTAGCTTTGTTCATTTTGTATGTTATTTTGTTCAGATTTAACTGTTCGTTAAAACTTATTTTATTCAATATTCACTGAAAACAGCTAGCAACTGAGACAAAGGTATCGTTTCTTGGATGTGTTCTGTATAAGCTGAGCATTTAACTCCTTTTATGTTTAAGAGTCCCACTTTTTTCTAATATGAAAAATGAATGTGGTCTAAACTACTGTATTTTCTACTATTTCATTAGAACTCATTTTTCTGTTGTATTCAACACATGCTGGGCTGCAGTAAGAAGGTGACCAACTACTGCTTAATAATTCAATGTCAGGATGCTCTTCCCCCTTCTATTTCATTTGTATTTCCCAAGACAAGGAATATTTTAGTACTTACAGAACCAAATGGGACTCTAGACAATTCAAAGGAACCCCTGTTGATCAACTTCTAGAACATATACATAGGAATTTAGGTCTACAAAAGCACTGGAAATAGATTAATTCAACTGCAATATGCAGTTAAAAGTTTTCGATAACCACCGTGTTACTCTGCTAGCCTTGTAAAGATAAACTCACAGAAGAGGCCAGTTTCAAACTAAATTACAAGAGGAGTAAGGCAAACAAGGATAACCATATTCCATTTTCTGCCTATTTTTGCTGCTTCTTTCTGATATCCATGTAAAAACCACCCATAAGGTGATGCTTGGCTTAAAAAAAAAAAGAAAGTATGACAAAGCCAATAAATCCATCAATATATGATTTAATGTTTTCTAGCAATAAGATGCATATATCTGGCAGTAACACAAGAGGAGGGATCTTTTGTAATTAAAAGTAACAACTTCTAAAATACAGTTTAATTACAACTTGCATGGAACTAATGGTTTTACTATGTTTAGCAACATTATTTAAAAACCAGAAAATTCATGTAATGTGTTAAATTAGTTTTAATGGATTGTAGTTAATCCTACTTAAAATTGGGAAATATACTGCAGCAACCTGAAATAAGTTAATACAGTGCTCTACTTTTCCATAAGGTTTAACTGCTGTCTAGAGAACTACTTCTTATCCTGAAAGAGTTGAAAACCATATCAAACCTCTTTGTGAAGATTTTCCTTCCTGACAGGATATAAACTTTTGCCCATTAGTACAACATCAATTATTGGATATTTTATGACATTTTGGAAACTTTCCAAAAACTTAACTAAATCTACAAGTGAAAATTTAAAAATAATATTCTAATTTTCTACCTTTTTTTTCAGGCCCTACAATAATCTGGGAAAAAAAAAATTTGTGCATCTAGAATAAACACCTACATGTGCAATATTGTGGGAAAATACTCTTCAGTCTGACATTAACCTAATACTTGAAAGAACTGAGGATAAAATAATAATTTGGATACACTATATGTATCAAAATTAAATAAAATTATTCAATGGCTGCTACTATCTCAAAAAATCATACATATCTCTACATATCTCAAAAAAACCCCCAGCAACTACGATATGAGTGTCTTCAACTTGCTGAGGACATAAAATAACATTGGAAATAACCACTTCAGGTACAATTCATTTACACTAAGATAACAGAATAGTTGTATTTCAAATTAGTATCACTTTAACTCAACTGGAAATGTAAACTCTAATAGCTAAACAGGGTAACGTACCACTTTAGCTTAGGAGAATGTACATGTAAATACAACATGGAAGACAGAAGAGTATGTATTTTGTGGGTTTGTCTTCACACTGTAGTTTCTTTCAGATGTATGTATCCATCACCCGAGGTCATAATAGGGAAATGTAGTATTACAAATTCAGACATTATAAAAACTCTATTTAGATTTAAAGAAAAAATATGAAAGAATTCAGTGCTAGAATAATCAAACAATTCATAATTCGTATAGGGAAATGTAGGTGTATTGTCTTGGTAAATCTTATTTACATAGTGACTCATGAACTCTTGTAGATTAAATGAAACTTCCCAAATCCCAAGCTATGCAACTAGATTAACAAGATAATCATGTTTGCTAAAATACAGTATTCACCTTTTCCCTGATTTTTAGACCTAAAATTATATTACTTTTTAAATTCAGAAAAACATTTTAAAAATAACTGTTTTTTTTAACCTGTAATTATTATTGCTGCATCTATATTACAAAGCAAGAGAAATAAAAAGCCCTAGAGTTGTTAAAAGTAAGTGCATTTTTTACAATAGCCTGTTCAACTTGTGCTGTCTCAACTTGCAGTTACCATTACAAATGTTCAATTTATAAATACAAATTCCAAATATTTCTTAAGTAGTTAATATAGCTTCAGGGATACAAGAAAGCACATGCAATATGAACTATCTAGTAAGTATGACGGGATTTTTTTTTCCATGAAGATTCAAAAGCGATATGAAAACCAATGAAAAGCATGCCTCTGCTGTGACGCATTTACCCCCAGAAGTCTTACAAAAATTATACTATTGAATAATGTAAACATAAGTGTCAGGTTGCATCTAGAGTAACAGACCACACATTATGGAAGAACTTACAAGAAAAGATTGCCAAATTTCTGATCTGCTACTGATTAGCAGAAGAATGTTATGCATTTGTTCCCAGTTGTAATCTAACCTTCATGCATATTCAAAAGCTAGGCTATATGTGCATAGTAACAATAATTTTGCATGATGCTTCTTTACACAGTTTCTTTAGTAATATGGGTCCTCATGAAGATAATTTCAGGAAGCTGGTAAATTCTGTATAGTTTCACTACGTGAAGACATACCCAGATTTCAAAAAGAACAAACTTGTTATAAATTACAGCTGATACTAGTTCTTGGCATAATACAATAATAATAAACAAGGCATTCATAATTTTATATTGTTTAACACTTCAAATGCCATATTTCCTTCACATTTTTATGTTTTACCAATGTCCCCCTTCTAAAAATGTGTGAAGGATTGCTGCTTTGTAGTTCACATTTATACAGCTTTCCTAGAAGAACGCAGAATACCATACTGAATGCCTATTGTGCAGAAATAACCCTGAAGGCTGTATCATAGCAGTATGCAGTAGAAAACCCTTACCAATTTTTCATCAACTGTGATGAGTTGCGTGTCTCGAGTTTGGTCCTGTGCCAGCCGCCATGTGGAAGTGCTCAGTGACCTGCGGTGCAAGACTTGAAGTTAAAAAATGATTCATGCAATGAGAAAATAGAGGCAGACAAATCTTACATAAACAAGTTACTTTAACAATATCCGTCTTGTAAAAAAAATTGAAGAGGGAGAGATGAGGGCACAAAAATCCTTTTTCTCCCCAATTAGTTCTGTCTGCTGAGTTTTTGGCAGACTCCCACTTAGCAGTTCACAACAGGCTGCACTTTATGTCAGCCTACAGGCTCTCTGTCACAGAGAGACTGCCAGTGGCAAGGACTGTACTGCTCTATATGAATGTACAGTAGCTGGTTTGTCACGAACAGACAGAAAAATACAAGGCTGCTGCAAGCATTCTGGAACTCTGATCCCGAAAACGATGGCATCAGAGGAAAAAAATCTTAAATCTGTTTGTAATGGTAAAGCTCCAGCTCTACACTTTAACAACAGAATATTAACAATTAAAAAAAAAAAAAAAAAGGAAAAAAACAACAAAAAAAAACCCAAAAAAAAAAAAAAAAAGGAAAAAAACAACAAAAAAAAACCCAAAAAAAAAAAAAAAAAGGAAAAAAACAACAAAAAAAAACCCAAAAAAAAAAAAAAAAAGGAAAAAAACAACAAAAAAAAACCCAAAAAAAAAAAAAAAAAGGAAAAAAACAACAAAAAAAAACCCAAAAAAAAAAAAAAAAAGGAAAAAAACAACAAAAAAAAACCCAAAAAAAAAAAAAAAAAGGAAAACAACGACAAAAAAGAACTCAAAAACAAAGAAAACAAACCCTAAGCTGATAATTCAAACAATTTTTTTTATTTTGACTGGACAAAGCTCACAACTATTTTGCTTCATTTCTAAATCAGTATGGGTCAATTTATGCATTTCCAAGAAATTAATCTTCTTGAGTAGTTACTAAACTTGTTGGGCACAGATTCCCAGTTCCACATCACTGAGTTAAGAAGTAAATTTTTCCCTTAAATTGTATTATATCATTAATGTCAGGATTGGGCCCTTTGAGTACAAATCATCTTTTGGCAAAATATTGCAACAGCAAGTGAAACAAGCCAAAAAGCCCAATTCTCTGAGCTAATAGTGTTCTTCACATTTAATTAAGGTAATTTTAAACAAATGAGGCACAAAAATGCAAGAATATAGAGAACTGAACAGTAAAAGGGACTAAGCCACTTTCGTTTCAACTGTTCTTCAGAAGATTACTTAATTTGGGAAGCCAGACATGCTTGCAGATGCAAATGAACTTTGAGATTTTGCCTACGGGATACTTACAACTGTATTTCTAGTAATTTAATGCTACCGGTAATATTTACTTAATTTTGGGGGAAACCATCCATAAATGCCTTTAAAAACATGACAGCTTTTAAAGCCAAATTCCAGGACTTTCAGAAAATCTGACATACTATCCAAACTAAACCTTCCCCACATAAACTACAACTATTAAATAGTTCATAATGTGAAAGGTGTCTCAGGATCAGATAACTCACACGCAATCATTCAAAACCTGTAGAATTAAAAGAGCACATCTTCTACCACACTCTACTAAGTCATGGAAACAGTGAAGACCTAACTGGGAGAACAGTCACCTAAACACGTGCATCTGTCATCTCTTCAAATCTTAAATCCCTCCCCAATTTTGTCAATTCTGGTGAGAATGCATTTGAAGATATGAACTTGATAATTTAATAAATCTAGCTGCACTGGATTTAACACATTAAGCAAGCGCTCAATTCTCAGACAGTATTAGAATGGTAAAGTTTTTAGGAGGTAAACCCTACACTAGGAAGGAATTTGAAATTAGTGACTACAAAGAAAGCCACAAGAATCTTATAAAACTAAACAACTGGAACAAAGTTTAGTTCAGTAGTATTTCAAATGCAGATTCCCACAAATATATACTTCTAACACAAATTACGCTCTACTAAATTACCTTTCATTTGCCAATAACAACTTCAAAAAATCTCCACATCATGGAAAACAAACTCCAAGCACAAAGATTATAGAATCACTCAACTCTGTGACAGAGACAGACACATCTATTCCTATTTAAAATGACAAAATCTGTCTGGAAGAGTACTTTGAAGAACAAGATGAAGCTTTGCTGTTTATTTTTTAATTCATACGTGTAAAACAGTATGTCATAAAAACAGAATAGACAAATGCTGCATTATGCTACAAGAAATGGCTCTTAGATGGACCTTATTCAAAACTACACCAAGCGAGAAGTTATCCTAAAAGCCTTCAGAACAGGGTATTACACTTGAATTCCAGTGGCAAGTAGCTGAATCAAAAAATTTCCGACCTTAAACAAGGCAAAAACATTTTAATAGAAAATTAATTTCTCCCCCACTCCAGGAATTTTAGTGTCCAAGTAATATTCTGCAGGTGTTCTAGAACTTCATGTGATACAGTGTTCAGTACACTACTTAATATATGGCCAATGAAGAACATGTGATTATGCAATAAAATTAGTTCATTCTAGATAGAAAATAATCTAAACTACGAATCAAGAATTTCTCTCAACCTTGTTCTGTGGAGAGGTCTGATGAGCATGTAAAGATTTGAGTATGTGAAGATATAATAATGCTGAACAGAATCACACTTTTCTTGTAATACAAATGTAGTTTGGAAGAAAATTTAGCACAATTCATTTTGAATTTGATTGGGGGTTTTCTGCATGTTTTGTGTTGTTTTTGTTTTTTTTTTAAATTGCAAAAGCATTAATCAGCTCTGAAGAGTATAAATGCCATGCCCTTCTAAAATGAGTTCCACTCAACATTATGTCCTTTGACATAATGTTACTCAGATGATTGCTCATTTTGGAAATTTAAACCTTTCATTCTGTCCTCAATGGTAAAGTAATTCTCACAAAATTCCCAATTAATACTTGCCTCTGCCCACATCCACCTTGACCTTTAGGTAGCTTTTGTGATAGATAAACTTGCAGAAGTATAAAACACACTTTTAAAGTTCCAAACCAAACTTTTTAAAATTTCATTCTCACAAGATTCTCCTCCTTTCTTCTACAACTGACCTCTGGAAAGGAAATCTGCTTTCTTGCTTTCCCTTTGTAAGCAACATGTTATTCTGGTTTGCCTCTTTCTGAGTGCTTATGCACTTTTTTTTCCTGTTGAAACATCTCAGGATAAGGCCTTAAAAGCAGGAAGTTCCATTTCTTACCCTGTTCTAAGACTACTCAAACTCTGATTTAAAATTCTTGTACACAGAACATTTTAAATAATAATAAATAGACCAGTAACATAATTCTAAAATTCAGAAACTATACCAAATGCTTTACACAAAAGAGCTTGCAACAATAAACCCTGCTATCTTCTTATCTCATTAATGTCCCACTCAAAACACAGATCAGACAAACTTCCTTCGCAGTTACTATCTAATAAACGAAGTGTGATGAGGCTCCAAGCTGGCCACAGCTCCATTGTCAATTTGTCTAAACATTTTTCTTACAGTGAACTCCCTAGTCATGAAAACACAAGGTTTTAAATGTAAAAGCCTGAATTTATTAAAATAGTTAGCCTTTTAAAATGAAACCCCTTCAAAATTACATAGAGAAAAGTAAAATTAAGGTTTATTAATAAAAGTCACCCATGTCCTTTATGATCTTGCAGACACACTAATGTGAGATACTGTGGGAAAGTATGTGATAAATCCACTATGCAGCTTCTTGGATTATAACCAACCTTTCACAAGGTCTGCTGGTCCCTAAGAAGTTTTTCTTTCATCAAGACCTGGCTGTACAGCTGGTGATGATGCCACACTTAGACTACAGGGACTCAATAGCAAAATTCTGCTCTTGCTGAACTTTGTCTTTCCAGGCCACTTCCTTCAGATGCATTTGGAATCCTTCTCCCCAAGAATATTCGCCCTCACAAATCTCCTAGTAACTCTCTTAATGGAAGATTCTTTGTTCTGTAGATGTTAGTCTGTCACACAAATACGAAGGGGTCTTCGTATTTCCACAAACATGGATAACTTGGCACGAACATATAGCAGTGCCTTTAGCCACAGAGACCACCACTCAAATTGTCATTTGGCTTGCAATTATGAAAGTGGTATTTTTTTCCCCAACCCGTGCCATTGTGCTGGGCATTTAAATTCCTTAAACTTGATCTATATGATCCTGTATCATCACTTTACACTATTATAATTTAATCATTTCTATCATTTATTATAATTTTATTATACTCATTTCTACAGTTCATTTAAAATGTAACTTTGTATAATACAACTTTGTCTTTACCATCAATCTGATCATGGTCCAGCTTAAGCATGAATTCTAATATCTACTATAAAACAATACACTAATGATATTTCTGTATTTCATTGTTAAGAATTTAAAAACGGTTAAGGTCACTTCTTCTCACACAGTTCCTTAGAAAAGCATTACAGACCTAAACATTTTATCTGAACTGGGTTATGCCTATAATTTATTATTTCAGATCTCACAGTAAATCTAAATATCTTCTATACTGTGTGAAGAGACAAGAGCACAAATTTGGCAAAGATTACACTACGTGGCTTTCCTACTACTTACTTGCAAAAATACTCTTACATTAGCTCAATAACATGGAATAAATTCATAATGACTACTAGTGAAAATGTGAATTTGTAAAGTGAAAAAATTTCTATAGACATCCTGGAAAAACAAATGCTGTGATCACCTAACAACGTCTCTTCCATGAGAAGCACATACTCCCCTTCTATCTTCATCTGCCATTCCAGTAAAGTCACAAATGGGTTCCACACCTTTGCAACACAAATGAAGGGGTCCATTGAGAAGCCATTGTAAGTTCTCCAGTCTTCACTGCTATACTCACACCACTATCAGGTCTCTCAACTGCTTATGTAGCAGAGCTCCTTGTTTCAGTGGACATACTTATGTCTCCTCTTCCCTTTTTACATTACGGGCCCTAGGTCTGTTGATGCCATTAACCAGTTCCATTGAACTACGGAAACCAAACAGTAAAAAAAAACAGGACAGCAAAAGT